GATGCAAAGGAAAAAAAAAAAGAGGAAGACATAAGCAAAGAAGAAAGGAAAAAGAAGAGGAAATGGAAAAGAAGGTGGCCGTGGGCAAACATCAAGGAAGCGGAGCGTGTGGCTAGGGGACAAATTTATATGTATCAGCTAAGACCCTTTCAGTCTTTAACATTTGATTGGATGGACCTCTTACAAGTTTGTCTTTGTGATTGCAAGAATAAAGATGATGAATAATGCCTTTTCTTGGCAAAAGGGATTCTATTATTTTCTGATCACTTCTCCAGGAAAGGACTGTGCAAACGCCTGTGAAGGAAGTCTACTTACAGGACTGCAAAGCTTGTGGACATAAAAACAACAACAAAGAAGAACAAAGAAAACACTCCTCACTTTTTCCTTTTATTACAACCACAGTTTTTTTTTTTTTTAACCTTATAGGCCATACCTTCAAGGCCAAGCTTTCAAGTTGTTGCCTTAACTGCCGTGTCTTAGGCAATTAACTAGTTTCCATCTCATTCTTACAGTAGCATAGAATCATAGAATCCTTGTGGTTGGAAAAGACCTTTAAGATCATCGAGTCCAACCGTAAACCCATCACCACCATGCCTGCTCCTAAGTGCCTCACCTACACATTTCTTGAGCACTGCCAGGGATGGTGACTTCACCACTTCCCAAGGTGTGCCCTCATGGCCAAGAAGGCCACTGGGATCCTGGCTGCATCAGGAGGAGTGTTGCCAGAAGGTCGAGGGAGAGGATCCTGCCCCTCTCCTCAGCTCTGGTGAGGCCGCACCTGGGGTATTGGGTGCAGTTCTGGGCTCCCCAGGACAAGAGGGACATGATGCCTCTAGAGAGGGCCCAGCATAGAGTGACAAAGATTATTAAGGGACTGGAGTATTTTTTGTATGAGGAAAGACAAAGGGAGCTGGGCCTGTTAAGCCTGGATGAGAGGGATATCTGACCAACATGTGCAAATACCTGAGGGGAGGATGCAAAGAGGATGGACCCCAACCCTTCTCGGTGGTGGCCAGTGACAGGACAAGGGGTAATGGGTACAGACTGAAACACAAGAAGTTCTGTCCCCATGTGAGGAAGAACTTCTTTCCTGTGAGGGTGCCAGAGCCCTGCAACAGGACACCCAGGGAGGCTGTGGACTCTCCTTCTCTGGAGATCTTCCAAACCCGCCTGGATGCCACCCTGTGCCACGTGCTCTGGGTGTCCCTGCTGGAGCAGGGGGCTTGGGCTAGATGATCTCTGGAGGTCCCTTCCAACCTCAACCTTTGTGTGATTCTGTGATGTATGTAACAGAGCTGGATTTAGAGCTGTCTGACTTGGGTGAGGGCAGTACTGACGGCTGACTGCTCATGACAGCAGATGCATCTACAGACTCTTTGGTCCTTCAATAGTGCACTGGGCTGACACAGCAAACGTTGGTTATCAAAGATCCAACAAAGCGAATGCCTGCTAACTTTGCTAGGACAACACAAGGCTCATTTCTCTAGGAGCAGAACTGGAGTCTTACATCGTGCTGTCCCCATTTATATATAGTGTTTTAATTATTGTGTGTTTTCATTAGCATACATTCTAAAACAAAGTGAAGGTAGGAGATGGACTCCTGTTTGTTTGCCTGTATTTGAAAATTCAGTTCCATATATAAGGGAGGCTAGAAGGAACTGAAGAAATCTATGTAAATAATTCATTTTAAAAAGTAATGGCAAGCTTATTCAGTAGAAGAGCTGCTCTTCTTGTTCTGTCTGTAAACATTATTTAAGTAAATTATTAAGTACATATGGTGTCATGCACCTATGTCAGAAAAGAAAAAGAAAGAAAAAGACCTATCCGTGCTCTAAAATACAACCATTCTCTGAGTCATCCAGTGAATCTGATATCTGTGTTTTTTTTCTCTTGAGGCAGAGGAAATTCCTTCCAGTGTGCTTTAGAAAATGCTAACTGGGCCATTAGTGATTAACAAATAAATAATACTGTCTACAGTTAATTCCTCCTCCTAAGTCCCTCCTTTCATTGTAAATCTGCTATATTTCCTCTGAAGGGAGTTTTGATAAATGAACTCACCTACGAATTTTGAAGGTTAGTTTGAGGTGAATGTATGTCGACGCTGTCAGGAAATTTATGTATATGTTACCTGTGACAACACGGAACTCAAGAGTGCTTACTGCTTGAAGTCCTCAGAATTTATATGCACAATTTACAAGATCCTCAGATAAAGTAATAAAAGATGCTGCCTAATACATTTTTTCACCCATTGGGATGTGCATTTTAAAAATGTTTGGTTTTGATCTATTATTTAATAATCTAGTACAATCTTTACTACTGTTTGGAGAGATGTTGTTAGACAAATACGTTTTTGTTGTCTTTTTATCTTCCCGTTTTTTGCGAACCAAATGGAGTCTCTTTATGCCATTAACCAAAGTGACTTGTAAACAAAGAGGCAATTTAACAGCATCCCTACAGCATCACATTCCAGCTTAACCCTGTGAGGACTGCACAGCACAAAAACTCAAGCGATCAGAGTTCCCACTTCGTTGGAAATCTAGTAAATAATCTTGTATGTATACAGAATAGTAATTGCACATTTTTGGAATTAGATTATACAAGAATATAATTCAAAAGGCAAGGAGCCCTTGTCACATTCTTTCTATCCAGCCTGTACGCCTGATTGATTTGTCTGATTTACGTAACAGTCATTTAGTGGAAGTGAATCATGGGTACGGTCAGAACAACTACAGTAAACCAGAGTATTTCCAATGAAGGAGGGAAGCTGTAACATCAAAGGGATTTCAGGAGTGCAATAGTTGCTCTAGCTGCTCTGCGGAGCAGCAGAGTTGTCCGAATTCACTGTATTTCACTAAAAAAGAATGTATTTATTTTTTATTAAATTGCATGCTGCAATACTTAGCAGTATCACAGCTTCCCCCCCCAAAAGACCCTGTACTCTGAAATAAAATGCAGCTCAGATCACAGAGCTTTTGTTGCATCGTGTAAAAAAAAAGTGCCACATAGTTCAGTCTGTTCTCCGTCAGAGATTTCAGTGCGCACAAAAAAATAAATTTGGGAGTGAGGTTAAAACGGACACAGAGGTTGGAGATAGCCCTGAGGTGATCTCAGTTCTTGTCTGCTTGCTTGGGTAAAGTTACTCTGATTACTCTTTTTCTAGAGTAAGCGTATTTTTACCTTTTTTTCAGCAAAGACATTTAAGTGTCAACAGGTTCTGCTCTGTTTGTTCTTGCATATCCCAGAAGCATACCAGTATTCGTGGCATAGAAATTATTATTATTAATTATTACTATTATTAATTATACTTTATTCAACAGTCCCTTTAAGTAAACATAAATGCTACTGCTTTCTCTCTAAAAATAGTGTTATACTGATATAGGGGTTTTCTTCTCTCTTTTTATGGTACATGAGCTAATGTCAACTCACTGATTTCCTCTCTTCTTACTCTGGTGATGCATATTAGTGGCCACATTTAGAGAAAAAGGAACTTTCGTATCCATTAATTCAGTGAATTTGCTGATTAGCAACACTAGCAACAGGAACATATACACTACCAGGAGGAAAAAGGCGCTACACATTATTAATTCTCCTCATTGTCCATTCATTTCTTTTATTACTTCTAAATATTATATGGCCTCCCTATAGTACATAATAGCTAGCTTTATGCTTCCTATCTTTCTTCTCTTGAATTGACTAAAAGCTCAATCCCCTTCCCCTCAGCCCACATAAGGAAACAAGAATCCAGCAATTGTGCAAATCTCCCATGAACATCCCAACAGCACAAAAGCCTCGCTTTTGATACAAGACACAACAGCTTTAATTGCTGCCATCAAAGCGCCACACAGGCCAGTTACCTCTCTTAAAAAACCAGCATGCTTCAACATACGTCAATAAAGGAGGGTTGCTACC